AACTTCAAATTCATCGAGACAGAAAGGGACCCATGCAATTCGTACCCTTGATGGTGTACCTACGAATGGTATATCATACAGTACGATCCATACTAGAAAAATTTTCTACTTTCTATTTTTTTTACTACTCATAGGGGAAAATAACTTAACTAATCATCCCGTATTAAATGACTTAATATAGTATGATCAATTTGAAAATTACAAATTTTAAACTCTCCCCCTTTGTATGTGTGCATAGTTAATCAATTACAATCACACTCTCTCAGACTCAATAAAAAATAAAAATAAAGATAAAGACATCATTTACAATATATCCTAAATTGATCTGATTTGAAGTCTTCAATAATCCGAAGTAAGATTTTTCTAAAATAATAGTACACACAAAAAGCGAAACAATACATCTAAAGTATGTTGGAAGAAACAATAATCAAAAACAATAATATTCAGAATCATCAAAAATATACATGTTGTAAGAATTTCAACAATCGAGAAATAAGTTGCAACTATCTTAACAATCTCCCTCTTTTTTATGATGACAAAATAATTATTGTTTGAGAAAAATTTAATACCCTAAATTTCTCCTTAGCTCCCCATAAAAGAATAAACATGTGAATTTAAGAGAATTATTTAAAGAATACAATTTTTTTTTATTTTACATAAATGATAAAAACACAAAAAATACACAAACAGAAAACACAAAAAAAAAATAATACCAAACAAAAACAATATTACTCCCCCTTTTGAAAACAATCAAAAAGGGAAAACGAAGGTTTTTTTTTTTTTTGAGAAATTGCAATACCCTTAAAATAAAATAAAAAATCTAGTACAAACTAACTAGTGATAGAAATCCAATCACTTTCCTCCTTTAGAGGAGGAGCATTATTCAAATTTTCCCACAAAAAATCACCCTCTAAGGCAAAATTAGCAAAAAGATGAGCTAATTTATTATAATCTCTATTAGCAAAAGGAATTAAATTACTCCCAAAATCCTTAAGAAAACAAATGTCTTCAAAGATCACCTCAGGTTTTGGATAACCCAGACTATCTACAGCTTTGTTAAGGTAATTGATAATGTTCCAATAGTCACCTTCTATGACAATCCCTTTATAATCAAGCATCCATTATTTGATCATATACTTGATTTGCCAAAAAGCTAATAATTACAACAATCCACTATCAAAATGTAAACACTTATGGCCAAAGGCTAATAGCATTCTTCCTCTATCGTCTCTAACAACACCGCCGAGACCAGCTCCATATGACTGATTTAAGGCCGCATCTATATTGATCTTGATCCATCCAGTTGGAGGGGGATGCAAAAAAAAAATTCAGCTTAGAAAGTTGGTTAGCATTCCAGTGGTCCGAATAGAGAGCATTTTTTGATGAGATAGATGCATAACATAATGAATTGGAAACAATATTTATCTGTCCAATTTCTCTACCATCATGGATTAATTGATTTATACTCTTCCATATGAAAAAAATCAAGGAGCAGTAAAGATGAGATAAAAAAGGATTGGTTAAGTCATTCCTTTTCATAAATTGAACACATTCCAATATAGAATTGAACCTATGGATTCGAAATCCCCATTGATTGAGTAATGCCAGAGCTTCTGAAATCTTACAACACCTAGTAGTTACATGCTCTATATTTTCAATCAAACCGCATCCTCTAGGACATTGATTGCCATTAATCAATCTCCTTTTCATAAGAAAATCAGTAGATGGAATTGCTTCTTTCAAAAGCCTCGACCATAAGCAATCCACTCTTGCATTCAGCTTAAACTTTGTCAACCAGTTCCAGTCAATAAACAAAATATTCAACTTTATTATTTTCTAAAAAGCTGTAGCAGCTAAAGAAGATCCTATAAATTAGTTGATTAATTCCAGTTCATCCTCCACCATATTAGAATAGATTTTGGTACCAGTAATAATCTCTAATAATGAAGGCCCAAAATATTTCATCAGCTCTTCCTTAATCCACAAACCATTGGCAATAAAATTCTGTAATTGCAGAAATTCTATTTCAGGAATAGCAATGAAGGTTGGCCAATCTACCAACAGGAATGTTGAAAGTTAGAAGTCATATGAGAAACCTTAATAATTGATCTTGAAAGAGATTAAAATAGAATTGCAATAAAAATTTAATAATCATTAGATGAAAAGGAAAGATTCAAAAGCATTTAAATTAAAGCATAACTTAGATAAGAAAAATTGATCAAGGTCATGAATAATTCTAGAGAATTTGACAAGAAAAATTATTGCAAAATGGACAAAATGAAGATTAGTTAATTTCAATTTTCAATATAAAATATAATTGATAATTAGATTGATTGGAATTTAAAGATTAAATGAAAGAGGAAAGAACATATTCAGTTGGTGACATTGCGTATCTTTTCAAATATTAGGAGCATACTTTGTGCATTTTTTATATTCGGGCTAATTTTATGCCACTTTTCAATTTGTGAACTATTGTGTACAGTTCAAAAATAGGTTCGTATGTATGATCGTGAGATTGTACGAGATCAAAATGTTTTCGTATGGACGAACGAAAATGTTCAAAATGAAACTACTTTTTTTTAATCATGCAATTTATGAAGTGTCCTTTCATACAGACTTTTTGACCAAATGATCGTACAGATGAACAAGTGTTCATCCAGGACAACCAGTTATTTAAGATTATTTTATATTTTTAGATTGTTACAACTTAGTTCTTTTTTGTTGATATTCTTACAACATGTTTATTTTTGATATTTCCAAATATTAATGGTTTTAATTATTATTTCTCCTAACATATGTTGGATATACTACTTTGTTGTTTGTTTGTACTAACATTTCAGGGAAATCATACAACGAAATATTGAAGACTTCAAATAAAGATTAGTTTAGAGTTTATTATAATTAAAGTCTGTATTTTACATTTTATTGATTTTGAGAGAGTGTGATTATAATGAAGTAACTGAACACACAAACACCAAGGGAGAGTTTAAAATTCACATTTTTTAAAATAATTGTACTGTACGATATCCATTCGTTTAGGATGATATAGTCAGTTATTTTTCCCAATAAGCAGTTGAACGAACAAAAATGAAAATTATTTTTTATGGATCATACTGTATGAACCTCGTTCGTATATGCTTTCTAGAGTACAAAATGGATGGGTCCTTGTTCACTAAAAAATAATTTGTTCTAAGTATGGATCCTACGGGACAATCCCAGTTCGTACATGCTTTCACGAGTATGAAATTGTCGGGTCAGTTCTTACTCAAAAATATTTTTTCTATGTATGGATCGTATTTTATGAAGCCAGTTAATACATGCCTTTCAGAGTAAAAAATTATGAGGTCCCATTTCATCCTGACAATTTATTAAGACGAATTTGAAATTTTTTTATAATTGATCGTATTGAATGATGACATCATCGTACATACGCCATCCAGAGTATTAAATATTGGGGTTCCTTCTCATATAGAAAAAATTTGCAAATTTTCTAACTGTTCATCCCAGACTAACTTGGTTCATACTAGACAATGATTGGGTATGAAATGATTTCATATCAATTCATAATAGGTTCATACGAAAAAGTATTTAAACTATTTGTACATATAAAATTCGATCATACTATACAATTGTGAACATTTAAAATTGAAATTTTTAGTTTTCTGGATAATTTTTCATGTCTTGAGTATAAAAAGTCCACTAAAACCGATATGAAAAAGTCTTATCTTCATGATTTTTCAAGGGAAAATGAAAGAGAGAGTGTTTGAGAGAGATTTCTTACTAGTGGAGTGTGAAGGATTCACAAGGTTACTTAAAGGTAAGGATCTCTGTGTGATTTGTGTTTTTCACTTTTTCCTCTTATCTTTCTAGATTACTCATGAGAATATCTTTGAAGAAGATCTGGTTCTTTGCTGACACTTTGAGAGTGTGAACAGCCGATGATTCTCTGCCAACATTTAGAAAGTGTGAAATGAGGATGGTTCTCTTTGACATTTAGAAAGTATGAAAGGACAAAAGTTCTCTACCAACACTTGGAAAGTGTGAAAGGATGACGGTTCTCTGCCGACACTTGAAAAGTGTGAAAGGATGATGGTTCTCTACCGACAATTGGAAAGTGTGAAAGGATGACTGTTCTCTACAAGCACTTGGAGAATGTGAAAGGATGGTAGTTCTCTATCTCACTGGGGATTAGTGGAAGAGAGCTTTTTAAAGGCTTCTCTGCCTTACTATGGGGGAAAAGGAGAGAAACTTTTGGTAATAGTGCAATACCTGAAGAGGGAGTCTTCAACAAATAAGAGAATATTAAACCTAGTGAGAGAAACTCTGAGAAATGTTTGAGGAAACGGTTCAAATTTTGAATTGGATTTCAAATTATTTCTTTTCGCAAGAGTTGTGGAGATTAATGGCGGCAGACATTCGCTGGCAAATGATGGCCGGTGGAACTACGGATGATCAACGTTCAAATCTAAAGGTCATGAATGGTTCATCTCACCCAATGCTCTCTCCTCCAGCGTTCGGCGATGATAAAGTTGGTTTTGGTTTGCTCAACAAATCAAAAAGTAACAAAGGGATTGCTATCAAAGAAGGAGGGTTTGTACCTAGAAAAGAACTGGAGGTAATTGGGAAAGGAAAGGGTATAGCCATTGAAGAAGATGTTATAAAGCTTCTTAAAGAGAGGATTGCATTGATACCTCCTAAAGGTCCATACGCTTTGCTCACTTCAGAACTAATTATGATTGATAGTCACTGTTCAAATGAAATTATGAATAGCAAGGAAATGAAGATGATAGTTCGTAACTTGTCGGTGAGTCCAAGCTCTGGTAACAAGGAGAAACTGGAAGAAAGGAAGTACACAGCTGAACAGTAGAGGAGAGTGAACCAAAGAAAATCTTATTCTCTGATTTGTTAAAATTCAGAGAAGTGGAATCAGCTGTTAAAGGTGTTAGTGGAGATGCAGTTCCAAACCTGAACGGAGACTTCGAAGGAGAAATAAATAATGCATGGAGGAAAAGGAAAATATCAAAGTAGCAAAATTACAGCTGGGCAAATTCATAGCTAAAGATGGTATCACTGTCAAACTACATGAGCAAAATGAAAAAGAAAATGCAGATAAGCTCAGTAATTCAATTGTAATCAAGGTGTTTGGTGGTGATCCTCCTCTAAGAATTATTAGTTCGGAGCTCAGGAGACAGTGGATGCAGTATGGGAAATTTCATTTAACCATGGTAGGCATGGGATGGGTGCTATGTTCATTCTATGAACCAGACCACATGGAAGCTATGATGACTAATGGACCCTGGTTTGTCAATGGGAAAATAATTGGTATGGATAAATGGTCACAAAATTTTTCAACGAATTCTCTAAAAGGCTTGACAGTACCGGTTTGGATTAGACTGCCAAATCTACCTCTTCAATGCTGGGATAATATAAATCTTTATAGAGTTGCATCAATGGTTGGAAAACTATATTTGATTGATGGAAGCATGTTCCAATGGGGAAGGAGAGAATTTGGAAGAGTATGTGTCCAGATTCAGCAGGATAACAAGCTACCTCTTGGTGTTTTGGCTGAAGGGAAAGCTGGAAGATTTTATCAAAGAATTGAATATGAACGTGTTCTAAATTTCTGTTTCAAGTGTGGTCTAATTGGACACAATTGTGAAGATTGCAAATAAGGAGTAGAAGACAAATCCAAAGAAGATAAAGTTGTTGTAACTGAATCTGTTAGTTCAGGGAAATCTATAGAACTTGATATGGGCCATGGCTGATTGTAAACAGAGGCAGGAAGAAAACCAATTTTCAGAATCAAATTCCAGTTAATTTCAATCATCAGCAAAAAATTAATAAAAAGTTGAAAAAAAGGAGGCTACATGGAGTACTGGGAATGCAGAAAAGAGGAATACAGAATCTGTTCCAGATTTTGCTGAAGATCCTATGATCAAAATAACTGAGGAAGAAATAATAGTTGAAGAGCAATCAAGGCATAACTCTAAATATGAAATTATTATTATAGGAGGAATGAGCAATCAAAAAATATCTAGTAACAAAAGAATCAGTCTATTTAGCAGCCAAGTAGAAGAGGGTGAAATAGTTCCAGATTTCACTAATAAAGATAAAGTCTTGGAAGGGCCTCCAGACAAGAGTATTATTGAATCCAATAATATTAAATCTCCTGAGACACTTTGTAAGGAAAATGATAGTATTACAGTAAAGAAGAAAAATTCAAAGCAATTGAAGGACTTGGGTCCTATCAGTTCAAATCTAAGGAGCAGGAGGATGGAAATGGAAGCAAAAAGTAACTTGGGGAGTCAATCCCCAATCATTCATTAATTTATTCATTTGCTTTTTGGAATTGTATAGGAGCAAAAAAGAGGAGTGCTTCTCTATTCCTTAAAGAATTTATGAAATTGCATAATGTGATATATGTTGGGTTATTGGAAACAAAATTAAATTCTATTGAAAGGAAAGAAGTTAATAACCTTATTGGAGATGGAAGGAACTATGCTATGGTATCCTCTAATGGATTATCACGCGGCATTATTGTTTGATGGAACAAAAATGTAGCTAATTTTACTATGGTTGATTCTTCTAATTAATGCATAATTGGAAACCTTTTGATTAATAATAACAGTAAGTGGAGGGTGGCTGCAATTTATGCAAACAAAGAATGTTGTAAAAGGAGGGAACTTTGGGAGAAGCTTGTTATCTACTCATCCATTGATGACCCGTTGGTGGTTGCTGGAGACTTCAATTGTCTCACCTCAAGAGAAGACAAAAAAGGAGGCAAAAGGTTTAAATTTACTCAAGGTTCAAAGGAAATGGAGTCCTTCGTCACCAACAATGATTACCATGAGGTAAACTTCATTGGTCCCCGGTTCACCTGGTGTAATAACAAAATTGGAGGAGCTCGGATATTGGAAAGGCTTGACAGGTGTTTTCTAAATTCAAATGCAGTAAATTTATCTTCTCATTTGATTGTTAAGCACTTAGCTAGAATTGCATCTAATCATTGCCCAATAATCCTTAATATTCTCAATTTGAAACCTCCTCCTGTTAAAACTATTAAGTTTGAGGATGTATGGACCTCTTATCTGGCTGCTCTTAAGGTGGTCAAGAAGGCTTGGGAAATTAAATATCAGGGAAGTCTTGCTCACATCTTAAACTCAAAATTTAGAAGATCTTTAAGATCTTTATTCTTTTGGAGTAAGGCTAAGAAGGTGAACCTGAATTTAGCAAAAGAAAAACTGATGGAGGAAATTCTAGAACTTCAAAAAATGGAAGCTGAAATGGGTCTATTGTCTAATGAAGATTGCTGGAGATTAAAAACCAAAGTATTGGAGCTGAATTCTACTTTGGCTAGATTGAACACTTGGTGGAAACAAAGAGCTAAAGTCAAGTGGATGATTGATGATGATTGTAATTCTAAGTTTTTTCACTCCTATGCTAGTGCTAAAAGAAGGTTGAATAACATTGTGAAGATAAAAGATGAGGAGGGAAATGTTATGGAAGATCAAAATAAGATTGAGGATATTCTTATTAGGTTATTTAAGCAAAAGTGGAGATACAGGGAGAGCTTGCTAGAGGGTTGGCCCAAACCGAAAGTTACCTTGAATAATGGTGACAGAACTTTGCTGGATAGAGCTTTTTAGGTGGAAGAAGTTGAGCTGGTTATAAAATATTTGGGGACCAACATTGCACCATGTTGTGTTGGAATCACTTATTCCTTTTTAAAATATTATTGGGATATAATTAAACATGACTTTTTGAATGATATCAATTATTTTTTGCAGCATGGAGAAATGGATAATACCTGGAAAGATACTTTGATAGTTTTAATTCCTAAAATTTCTAATCCTTTCAGTCCTACAAACTTTAGGCCAATCAGCCTTTGTAACTCTATATACAAAGTCATTCTTAATAGACTCATTATGATTATTCCCAAAGTCATTTCAGAGGAACAAGCGGCATTTATTCAAGGGAGATCTATTTTAGATCATGTATTGATTGATCAAGAAGTGTTCCATAAATTCATATGATGTTTTGTTGTATTCAAAAGCAAGTAAGAAGATGGCAACGGAGGTGAAAAGTATCCTTTCCAATTTCAGCAATTGGACTGGACAATGTATTAATATGGGAAAATTTGGAATTTTATTTTGAAAGCAGGTTGATAGAAGAAGGAGGAAGGCTATAAGATGAACTTTGGGAATCAAGGAGGTAAAAGAATTTTCTTACCTTGGAATCAAGATGCCTCTAAGAAGATTAAAGGCTAATGATTATGAATTCATCATTGAGAAATAACTAAAAAAGATCAATACTTGTGGGAGCAAGATCCTATCCTTGGCAGGGAAAATAGCTCTTGTGAAGTCAGTTACTTTGGCTATCCCTATTTTTTGCAGCACAAATTCCCTTGTTCCTTTTATTATTATTGAAGAAATTAATAAAATTTTGCATAAATTTTATTTGGAATAAGCCCAATGGTGATATTGGCATTCATTATATTGAATGGGAGGAACTTTGCAAACCGGTAGATAAAGGTGGAAGGGGTTTGTATTCTCTTACTTCCAAGGTGGCTAAATTGAGAGCTAGACTTACATGGAAGTTTTTGAATAAAAACACTCTCTTAGTCAAGTTACTGGCTCCAAAATATGGCTTCAGGATTGTTGATGGAAATTTGAAGAGGAATGTGTCTTCCTCTTGGAAAATCATTAAGGATGGAGGTAAAGTTCTTCAACCACTATTGAAATGGAGTGTGGGAAATGGTTCATTTATTAATGTATTTGAAGATAAGTGGTTGCTTGATAGGAGTTTAAATGAATGGCCTTCTTTTGTTGTCCCTCAAGAAGAAGAACCGGTTTTATTGGAGAAGTTTATAGAAGAAAAAGAATGGAATGTGGCTGAATTGAGGAAAGTTTTTGGTGATGAAATGGTGGAACTTATTCAAAAAACAACTATTAATACTGAACAAAAGAAGGATAAACAAGAGCTCATCCATAAAGGTTCAGGGGGAACAATTTCTAGCATGATTGCTGATTCCAGATTCCAAACCCTGCCAGGCTGTAGATACCCAAAATGGTTGAAGAAAGCTAAACTCAGCCCGAGAATTGAAATCTTTTGCTGGAGGTTATTCAAGAATGCAATTCCAACAAATTATTATCTGGCTCATAGAAGACTGCAAGAGGAAGAAATATGTCCAAGATGCATGGACGGTATTGAAGATATGGAGCATATTATTTGCAAATGCTCCAAGATCAAGGAGGCTTTCTTTTAAGTAAACAAATGGGGCTTTGGGATTGCTTTCTTTGATAATTTACTTGATTGCTGTAATTGGATAGATCATACAGCAGCTCATAATGGTGTGATTCTTAATTTGTTCTTCAATGTCCTGTTTTTCTCTTGAAAAGCCAGAAACAAATTCACTCATGACAAAGTGATTGAGGGAGCTATCTTGGTGGCTATTGAAGCAATTTGCTATTCTTCTATTTCTAAATTGATTGATAATCATTATTAAGAATAGTGGGATGTTAACCAGCCTGATAGGCTATCCAAATTTTGGCATCCCCCCACCCGAATGGTTAAAAATAAATGTAGACGCTTCTCTTGACAACTCTTATATAGCTTGTGTTGGAGGAGTCATTCGTGATAGCAAGGGAAGATTTTTATTGGCTTTTGGAAAAAAATACATTCATTCGGATGTACTTCACTTGGAGCTTCTTGCAATTAAATCTTTAAAAGAAATCATTAAAGATTGGATGTTCAAATACAAAGGAGCTATCATTGAAGGAGACAATGCAATGTTATTAGAAGGCTTCAAAAGGCAAGGATCAACGGGTTCAAGAATGAAGATGAGTTTGATTTCTTTTCTAAATTTAATTTTGTTATTTTCTCTCATGTTGATAGAAGTAGAAATAGGTTGGCCGATTGGTGTGCTAAGTATGCCTTGGCTAACAATTTTATTTGGGAAGAACTTTGCTTGAATAAGATTCCTCCTTCATTTGTAAAGTTATTGAAGGAGGAATAGAACCTGTAGTCAGTTCTTGTTTGCTTCTTTTGCTTTTAATGCATTAATTGCTCTTTTCGGAAAAAAAAAAAAGAAGAGGGAGTCTTCAGGGAGTGGATGTAGGTCGTGTTTGACCGAACCACTATATATTTTTGTCTTTTAAATTTTCACATTTTATTTACTGCAAGTTATTTTCTATGATTGAAAAGTTTTATTTTAAAAAACTTTAATAAACTTTCTTTGTAAATCAATTATTTTAAATTTTAAAATCCAAGAGAATTTTGAAATTGCCAATTCACCCCCCTCTTGTTTAGCCATGGGATAAAAATTTAGACTTAACAACCAAATCTATTATCAACAAGTGGTATCAGAGTCTCATTTCAAAACTATAAGTTCATACAACATTTTAAAAAATGGGCATGGCAACTTTTGGAAACGAGAACGCACCAGAAGGTTACTTGATCATTAGACCTCATTTATTTGACAACATCCCCTTTAATTTTTGGAAAACGTGCATGTTTACATTTTTATAGTCACTAGATTATCATGTGTGACTTAGTTCAAGAAGGATATACCAAACCAACTAGATTAGTTGATGGTATTAGAGTTGAAACACCCTTTATATATTGGACTGTAGAAGAACTTGACTTAGCATAACTTAATGTAAAATATTTAAAC